CCCACAGGTCCTGTCCCCATGCTTTAATAAACCACCATTTTGCACCAAAGATATCTCAAGAATTCTTTCTTGGTCATCAGCTCCAGACCTCACCCCACTGAACCTCACTTATATTCCAAAACTTCATCAACCATGGTTAAGTTTGTCTTTCTGGAACTGTTTCCACAAATGCAGCCGGGTTACCAATACCAGAATGCTGCCATCTTGCAAACTCCTCATGAAACACAGGCAGGCAGAACTGTTAGAGGAAATGCATAATGCACACTTAGGAAGTGTTGTGTGCCAATGCAAAATCTAATTAGTCTCCACCTCTAAGTTAACAGGAACTCCTAGTGACAGAAAGACACCACAAGAATGCAAAGGCAAAAATCCCAAAAATGAGAAACTCCACAGGATGCATGACCAGAATTTGATAAATTTCAAAGAGGTTTTAAAAAAAAAAAAGCGGAAGGAAGCTGATTACAATATTCAACCCTTATGCTCATTGCAGCACTTTTTATAATAGCTAAAATATGGAAGCCATCCAAGTGTCCACCTACTGACAAAGAATATTTACAATGGGATACTATTCAACCATAAAGAAGAATGAAATCTTGCCATGTGCAACAACATGGATGGATCTGGACAGTGGGATAGGTCAATCAGAGAAGGTACTATGTGATTTCACGCATGTGAAATTTAAGAAACAAAACAAAGAAAAAAAAAAGAAAAGCCAAATCAAAAGGCTGACTGACTACAGCAAACAAACTGGTAGGTGGGAGGGGGTTTGGTGAAACAGGTGAAGGGGATTGAGAGCACGAGTATCTTGAGGACTGAGTAAGGTAAGAATTGTTGGCTCGCTACCATACCTAGCATAGGAATGTTCACGACCATAGACCATACTCTACATACACCTGAAACCAATATAACATATGCTAACTACAGTAAATTTAAAATATTAAAATAAATAAGACTCTAGTTTAAAAAAATAAAAGAAAATGTAAGTCTGTCAACCAAATGCATTGCTAGTTTTTTGGGTTTTTTTTATCTTTTTTTTAAATTTATTTTCAGCATAACAGTATTCATTGTTTTTGTACCACACGCAGTGCTCCATGCAGTCCGTGCCCTCTCTAATACCCACCACCTGGTTCCCCCAACCTCCCACCCCCCTCACCTCTTCAAACCCTTCAGATTGTTTTTCAGAGTCCATAGTCTCTAGTGGTTCACCTCCCCTTCCAATTTCCCCCAACTGCCTTCTCCTAACACCCCATGTCCTAGTTTTGATGGGGTTTGGAATATAGGTGAAGTTTGGTGGGGTGAAGTCCAGAGCCAAGGCCAAGAAAGAACGCTTGAGACGTCTCTGGTGCAAAAGGGTAGTTCTAGGACTTGTGGGCAGAAAAATGCGCTCTGGGTTTGTGAGGTGTGGCTGATTACATACTTGGGAATTTGGGGGAGGTATGGAAAAGGGAGGTTTCAAAAGGATTTTTGTATGTTAAAGAAGACTCACAGGATACCAGAGTCCTAGCCATTGTCAAGTTAAGAGTGTTTTCCCCTCTAGGGAGGCGTGAACAGTAAGGCAGTTGGGAGCGTCCTGGAGGAACCTGACACTGCCTGCTTCAAGTATCTGTCAAGGGGCTGTAGATTATAAGGACATTTGATTGTATCTGGAAACTAGGCTGTTGGTAGAAAGGCTTTGTGCTTGCAGGTCACTAAGCCTTGCCGGGCTGTGATCTCTCCAAGTTAGCCATCTGCTTTTCCTTCAGGGCAGCCGGGAGAACATCCCAAGGTGGCGGGCAGTTTGTGGGGTGTCCGCTTCGGCCTGTCCTCAGCTCCCTCATCAGTTTGAATCACGACTCACACGAACTGATTAAAAGTAAGAAACAGCATGACGGACAGAAGGCTCTGGACACTGGCTACTTGATGGCAGTGAAGCATAATGGAACATTTAGGTGTGATCGTGCTTTTGCAGCTACGTTCTCAAGGGCCCTTCTCTCTCAGACAGCCCTGGAAGTTCAAAACGACCTGCTCCGTGGGACACAGGCGAAGCGACTGGTCAGTAAGGGCTTCAGCGGTTGGACGGACACGTGCTAAACTACCTTCTCTAGCGTCGTGTACCGCCGGAAGCGTCCATCCTAAGCAGCTAAAAAGCAGCAGTAAGCTAGGGGCGTCCCCCGCACCCTGTGTGCCTGAGGTCACCGGGCGCCCAATCCCGGGGTTCGCGCATCAGGAGAGGCGACATGGCCCACTCTCCCTCCCGTCCGCGCCCCTCGGGCGTCCCAGTCCGGGCCGCCTGAGGCTCCTCTCCGGGGTGGCCCTCGCGGGACCGCTCACCGCCCTCCCGGGCGCGGGCTTCCAACCCCGCCCCGCGAAAGGCCGTCACCGCCAGTGCAGGCGGCGGAGCGGGCCCTCAGTGCCACACGCGACCGCCGCCAGGCCCTAGCCGGGTCCCAGGCCACAGCAACGAGAAGGCACTTTCAGAGGGGGAAATGCCACCCGCTTGAGGCGGTCGGGGGACCGGTGGGGACAGACACCTGAAACCCACAGCAGCAGCGACGCAAGGCAAGCCGCTGCAGGACCGCCGGCAGTGCGGTGCGCGCAAGGCCCGGGCGCCGTGTGGCCTCTCTAGGCGCGCAGGAGGTCTCCGCTCTCGGTGGCTCTGGAGCGCGCCGCAGTGCTGTCCGTCAGGAAAATGGCGCCGGCGGGGAAGGCGGGGCCGAGGGCCGCGCTGGGGGCTGTCGCACGCCAGGATTGGTGGCCCGGGGGTGTGGGCGGGGACTTAGGAGGCGGGGCCCCCCGGGATTGGCGGATGCGCAGACGAGGCGGGGCGTCCCCTTTGTCTGGGTGCGTTGCGGGCGCCCGTCCCTTCGCGCGTGAGGCTGCGGCGTGGAAGGTGAGTGGCGGATTCGCGCGGGCACTGGCGGAGGCCGGAGCCGGGTCGTCCTCGCGGACAGGGTATTCCCTGCGGGCGCCGGTTCCTTCGCCGGCGGACGCGCAGCGGCCTCCTCTGCCTCCGCGGACCCCGCTGAGCGACCCAGCCCCCCGCCTTCCGCCACACCCCAGTGCCCGCCTGCGCCTCGCACCCGGGCCTCCCCTGACCCCCAGCCCTCGGCCCCCGCCGCGCCCCGAGCACCGGCCCCCCACGCTTACGGGCCCTTCCCTGCGGCCCCCACCCGAGCCCCTGGGCCCCGGCCGCGCCCCGAGCACCGCCCCCCCCCACGCTTCCGGGCCCCGACCTGAGCCCCGGGGCCCTCGCCGCGCCCCGAGCTCCCCCCGCAGGCCGCGGGACTCTTCAGACTCCCCCGCCCCCCCCCGCCACGCTCCCGGGCCCCTCCCCCGCGGGCCCCGCGGGAGCTGCAGGGATTCGGCGGGGAGGACTCGAGCCCGTGGGCGGGGAGGGCGGTCCGTGACCGCGTGTCGCGGGGCTCCCGGAGTCCAGGGCCAGGTAAGAAGCCCGCCCCGCGGCTCCCGCAGCGCCTCCGCACCTCGCGGTCGGTCGTCGCTCCACGTCCGAGCGGCGTCGGGGTCTCTGGGCCCAAAAGCACTCGGTGATTCTCCGTCTCTCGTCCGCGCGCTTGGCTTCCCTGTGACTCCGGAGTGGCCGAGACCAGCCTCTTCCGGCCTCTTCGCTGGTGCTTCCCCGGTGGGTCATCGGTTCTCCACGTCGTGATGCAAAACGATGCGCGTCTGGGGAAGCGCGAGCTTGCGGGAGAACGTCGGTGAGCGGGGCTGCGGGTCCACCCGGCTGTGGCACCCGCCGTCCGCGGCTGCGGGGAGGGTGCGCCTTGGGTCGCGCGCCCCGCACCGTCGTCGCGGAGTGTTTGAGTTTCCGTCCCCGGGACTGGGTGGGGTTGAAACTTCTTGTGTCTTCGTGGCCCCCGGGATCGGCCGGTCCCTGCTCTGCTCTGTGTGCGCCGCAAACTGACGTTTGACTCCAGCTACTGCGTTTTGTTCTGGCTGGGGTTTTTGAAGAGATTTCAGCTTTTTTTTTTTTTTTTTTTTTTTTTTGATTTTTTTATATCTTTATTTGACAGAGAAGCAGGCAGAGAGGGAAGGGAAGCAGGCTCCCTGCTGAGCGGAGAGCCCGATGCAATGCCAGGACCCTGAGATCATGACGTGAGCCGAAGGCAGAGGCTTTAACCCACTGAGCCACCCAGGCGCCCCCGATTTCAGCTTTTTAATGTTAAAGTATTTAACTCCGAAGGCTTTTGAGCTTTGTTGTTTTAAAGGGCTTTCCCCTTGCCAAGATTATTTTTAAAACAAACCCTTGTTTTTCTCCGGTACTTGTGCAATGTTGGACCCATCTGGAATTTATTTTGGTGCAGGGTGAGAGGAATCCAGAGTCGTTTTTTTCTCTGTGCTGTTTCCAACACCACCTATTGAATAATTCATCTTTCCATTGATTTGGAAAACCACCTTTGTCGTGCATTAAATTCGTGTGTGATTTTGGGTCCATTCTGGAATTTGGTGGCTTTGATGTGCATGAGGTCTTGATTTTCATGCAGCAGATCTGGAAGTCTCTGCCCCCATATTTCTGCTTTTGGTATTTTGCTTAAAAGGCCCTTCCCACCTGAAATACGTATTTGCATTCAAGTTCTTTCTATAAAACGTGATGTAAAATTTCTGCTTTTCATTCATTAGCTTGCCCGGGATTCATTAGATGTGTAGTATTTGATATGAGATCTAATTTTTTTCTAGGGTTTTTTTTTTTTTTTTTTTTTAATCTCTTTGCCTTCCTCTACTTTCTGGGAGATCTGCTGACCTTCATGCACAGGCCCAATTCTACTTTTCCTAAAGCATTTAGCTCGTCCTAGCCCCATTTACTGAACGCTGTTTCCTCAGCAGTTTGAATTGCCTCGTCTGTTCTCCATTTGCATATACGGATTTGGCCCTGCTCGGCCCGGTTCCTGTGTCACCCCTTTTCATCCAGGCCCACTTGGCTCTCGGGGCACCTCGGTTTTGTGGGTACAGTGAGAATTTATATCTCATTTCTATAGATAAGTTTATTTTAAGCTTGTTTCTTGTGTCATTTGTGATCCTATGTATTTTCTGACCAGGTCTTGCTGGTGTGTAGGAAGCTATGGGTCTGGGCGCGTGATCGTTGGCTGTGGAAGATTGCAGGGTTCTGCTCTGCGTTCACACGTGGCTCAGAGAGGCCCCTCCTGAAGATGCTTCCCCGGTGGAGGGCACGGGACTCACTCCAGCAAGAAAGCCCGTAGGTGAGGACAGTGAGGACAGAGGAGGAAGATCTTCGGAGCTGCCCAGCCCAGACCAGGGACTGGGGGTGTGCCTGGCCTGGCCTGTCACTGTGGGCAAGGTCTTTGGAAGATAGGCATGCTTGTTCTTCTCCATCAAGCCCAGGAGGAATTCAGTAAGGGCAACAAGTTCCTAAAACTTAGCTTACAAAACAAAGTAATCATAAATAATAAAACATGAAGTTCTAAACTCTTTGCGCCTCCGCGGTCCCTTCCTTAGTTGCTGGCTGCTCCGCCATCAGGAGAGCCAGGGCCTGCTTGGCACAGAATCTCTCTCTGCAGTGTGGCTTCTTTCCCGTGAAGCGTCCAGTGCTGCTGAGAACAGTGATCTGTTCTGGTTTTGTTTGCATTACTCCCTGCTCCCTGAGATTTCCAAAAATGAAATTCCTGCATCTGAGGAATGACTGGCTGATGGATGGTTGGGCCTGGTGCAGGTCCCCCCAGGGGGTGCGGTTTGCACTTGGCCCCGTGTTGGGGGTGGCATGGCCATCTGAACAGAACTGGGCATGCCCACCTAATCTCCCTTCCTGTCTCAGCTCCTGCGTTGGGGCGCCTGGGTGGCTCCATCCGTTAAGTTTCTGACTCTTGATTTTGCCTCAGGTCATGACCTCAGGGTTGTGAGATCGAGGGCTCCGTGCTGAGTGTGGAGCCTGCCCAAGATTCTCCCCACCCCGCCCCCCACCCCTCCATCCCCTTGTTTAAAAAACAAACGAACAACTCCTGTGTTTTTTCATAGAGCAAAGCCTGGAGGTGGGCATCGGAATCACGGGGGTCGGGGTGGAGGAGAGGGCGGCTCAGGAAGTGCCAGTTCTGGGCCCTGGATGGCTCTGTTCACCTGCCCAACGGCTGTCCGCTTTGGGACCCACAGTGTTTTGCACATCTTTGTGTGCAATCACAGACTTGTTCAACACTAGTCAGTACCACTTCTTGTATTTGTTCTTTTTCTTTATCGGAATACAGGAATATGTCTTAGTTCCTTTGGGCTGCTCCAGTAAAATACCATAGACTAGGTAACCTATAAAACAGACGGTTCTCAAGTTCTGCAGGCTGCAGGGTGCCTCCGTGGTCGGGGAGGACCTTTTCGGGTTGCAGACTTCTTGTTGCGTCCCTACATAGCCAAAGGAGTGAGGAAGCTCTGTGAGGTTCTTGTACTGATGCCATTGTGAGGGCTCCAGCCTCATGACCTAAGCATTTCCCAGTGGCCTCACCTCCTAACACTACCCCGCTGGGCATTAGGATTTCACCATATGCATATTGGAAGGACACAAACCTTCAACCAAAGTAACAAGTATACTGGTGTGTATGCTTGGGCTTGGTAACGTGTGAACATCATCCTGGGTAGAGAGCCTTTGTTTCAGTGCTTTTCTAGGACTGTCCCCTTCCCCCCCACCCACCCCTGGGAATCTTGCCCTTTGCCTTGTACACCCGCCTCCATGCCTCGCTCATACTGACAGCCTGGTTTTTTGAGTTAATCTAACTGAATGAGCCCAGCAGCATCTGACTTCGCAGCCTGCTGCCTCTTGAGGCCTGCAGAGGAGGGGTGTGGGCTCCCTGTTTCATAGGTGCGGACAAAGCACTCACGCTTCTTGACCCTGGAGGCATTCTTTCTGAAAGAGGACATTATGGACATACTTTCTGCATCCCATGGTCTCATATATCTACTGGCTGTCTCCCCCAGCTTAACTCTTTCTCAGGGGGTGTGTGACCTGTGTGTGGAAGGACTGTGGCTTGGCAGTGGCACCATCCTTGGGCCTGTGTCCATTCCAGGGGAGTGCCCACTCTGAAATGGTCTATCCAATTCGTCTACATACTGCCAAGTGGCTTTCCTGAGAAAGAGTGTGAAGTATGGGCTCATAGCTCTTATTTCATTCACTTAATCAGCAAACATTGGGTTGCTGGCTGCTCTGGGACACAAAGGGAGAATCAGGACTGGGAGACAGGCCTTCAAGGTTGGGGGGTCAGGAAGGCCCTCGATGAGAGGATTATGTGCCAAGAACCAGCCAAAGGTCAGGAGCCTCCCTAGCAGAAGGGAAGCCCAGGCGGGGTTCAAGCCAGCAACAGCCACGGTTCCCACAGTGGGGTTGGGGGTGCACAGGGGAACAGCCCTGCTGCAGCAGGGCCGCGTTCTGGCTGTGCTTGGAGGTTGGAGGGGGTTGTGGAGGGGGGGGGGGGGAGGAGCGCTCGGACGGCTCATTCTGTTGAGTTTCTGACTCTTGGTGTTGACTCAGGTCATGAGATCAGGCCTTGTGTTGGGCTTCACACCCAGTGGGGAGTCTCCTTGAAGATTCTTTTGCTCCTTCCTTCCCCCTGCTTGTGCGTGCTCTCCCTCTCTCTTTCTCAAATAAATAAGTCTTTAAAAAAAAAAAGAAGCCAAGTGCCTCCTCGGGTCAGCTGTACCTGTCTCCAGCACTCACTGGGGAGGTCCTGAATGGTGTTCCCATGGGTGTTTCTTGTTGAATCCTGGCCCAGTTGCAGTGGGGCCTACTTGTACCTGGGTCCCAGGGGACCAGGGCTGGATTATCCAGAAAGGTCAGAGTCTCATGCAGGTGAGGATTGAGGGAGCAGTGTCCAGGACACCTGGTGGGGACTGAGTTGCGGGAGGACGGGTGACTGACTCTCACAGCTGCCAACAGTGGGCGAGGAGCTGGCCACATGGAGGTGATGGAAGCCCCTGACCAGAGCCGCCTTGGTGGGGGTGGAGGGTGGAGACTACTCATGGGGAGGCAGCCGGACAACGCCTTGGGGAAGATGAATGACCATGAACAGTGGCAGGTTTGTGGGCCGCTTGAGAGGGTGTGGGTGTCGGAACCACCATCAAGAGGGCAGGGGGCAGAGCAGGTGGTGGCAGTGACTTTCTCATCGTTGTTCTGAGACCTGGTGAGTCCCCCCCCCCCATTCTTTCAGATTTTATTCTTACCTGTTCTCCAGCATTTACTGTTCATATAAATTTAAGGTTAGTGTCACTCTTTTAAGACCCCTATTGGGATCCTAATTAGAGTTGTGTTGCATTGACACAGACACACAGATTTGGTGAGAATGGGCATTCTCGGTGAACAGAGAGATGGAGAGAGGCCAGCCTCTCTCCGCCCGAGTCTCCTCTCCTGTCCCTCGAGGCCGCTGCGGTTGGGAATTCCGTGTGTATATTCCCAGAAGTTGTCCGTGCAAACATACACATACATTTTATATTCTGTGAAGAAAATGGGTTGTGATGCTTCCTGACTTCCTGCCCCCAAGTCGTCCCTTTAAGCAGCCCACAGTGTGAGGCATCCTGTTTGTCACGGTGATCGTGGTGGCCGTGTCCCTCTTGGAGACTCCCTTTGACACTCCAAATAATGTGAGCCCCATCCCCCCAGTAGGAGAGCTCTTGGTCGCTCCCTCCCCATTTTTTCCAGTAATTTGAATATGACAGACACCTCAGCTAAACTAGTCCTTTTACGTCCCCAGAACCTGCCCACCCATAGGCCTCCCCACAGTGCTTAGACCAAATCCCTGGGTGACTCTGGACTTCACCTACCAGAATCAACCATGTGTCACGCCTCCAATGCCAGTCCCTGGTGGAGACACCACCAGGCTGACGGCGCCAGCCTCACTGCAGAGCCAGGGCACAACCAGGGCAGCCTGAGGCACCGACAAGCCACAGGAATCACAGTCAAGTGAATCCCGAAGGACCTGGGGTGGGCTGCCCCAAGAGTACGGGCCTCAAGCAACACCACGAGTTCTCAGCCTGTCTTCCCTGGAGATTATCTCTGGAGGCAGCCTGGCCTGGCATCAGCCCTTCTGTGTGGACTGTGGGCCTGAGCAGATGGCGCCGAGTCCTTGTTAGCTCCCCAGCTGACCATGAGGACCCCAGGGTCTGGAGAACAAAACCTTCTGGCTAGAGCCTTGGGGTACACAGGTGTCCCCAGGCATCTGAGGCGGGATTGTTCCTGGGCTCACAGAGTCCAGGGACCATTGTTCCTGAATTGTGGAGTAAGAATTGGTGGGGGGGGGGGGGGGGGGGTGGACTCCCAGAACTAGGGTCTGTGAAGGCAAGGCTGGGCCCCTCATGTACTCCCTCTTCCTCAGCCCCACAGGCTCCTCTGACTTCCATCTTCCTCGGAAATCTCAGGCGGTCCAGCCATGGCAGCGGCCAGGCTCCTGCCGCCGCCAGCAGCACCCCAGGTGAGCTGCCCTCGAGGCCTGAGCAGCACCTCCGGGTTCCCTCACAGCCCTCCTATGCCCAGGGCTCCAGGTGGTCACCTAAGTGTCACTGCATCTGAATCCTGTGGCCTCTTCCTGTTATACGCCCCCATCCCCCACCCTTCCCCCGCCAAGCTGTTCACATGTGTTTCCCCTACCAAGGGCATCTCCACTTGCATCCACTCCATCTCATATGTGGAGACTTAGTCCAACCTGCAGCAGCCCCTGTCATTCCAGGCCAAGGTGACCTTTGAGGATGTGGCCGTGCTCCTCTCCCAGGAGGAATGGGACCGCCTGGGCCCTGCTCAGCGGGGCCTCTACCGACACGTGATGATGGAGACCTACGGGAACGTGGTATCGCTAGGTATGGCCCCTCACCAGGTCTCTTCTGTGTCTGTGTGCTCGGCCAGGGGTGGGGGCCCTGTGGTGGGGGCTCTAGAGGAATGGCAGTCCTGTCTGTCCTGCCTGCAGGTCACTCGGGTGGGGTGGGGTGCGGGTGTTCACAGATACTGTGTTGACAAAAGGCCTTCCCTCCCATGGGCAGGACTTCCAGGATCAAAGCCCAATGTGATCTCTCAGCTGGAGCGAGGCGAAGAGCCATGGGTCCTGGACGGGCAAGGGGCTGAGGAGACTCGGGGCCTGGGGAGTGGCCGGTCAGGTGAGTGAAATGAGCTGGCCCTCCTTCCCTTGGGGTCAGTCAGTTCCCAGTGGCCGTGGCACTGACAGGTGACAGCAGGAGTAACGTCCAGCCCCTTCTGGCAGAGGCTTAACGCAATGAATTGCACTTACGTTGTGACGGCAGATGGGGAGTCCTACTCTCGAGAAGTGTTTTGTTTCCCTTCAGCTCCCTTTTCCTTTTGCAGACAGCTACAGGCATGACCACGCGACAGCTCGTATGCGACAAGACCGTTCGCCCTGTCCATGGGGTAGGTGTGTGTCTCATCGTTCTGACCCACACAGTCCCGCAGGTATTCATGCTCACCGTTCACCAGAGTATGTTCCAACTTTGGGGAGGGGTTTTCTGAATTAAAAATCTGTTTCGGTGGAAGTGTTTTTCTCCCTTTGTCTTGTCACATGTGACACACTCTTCCCTAGTCTGTGCTTGAATCTGAAGCCGCCATTCTGGACGTGAGGGCTCTGCTGAGGCTCCCGCACCACGCGGCCACAGGGCGGCCTGGCACTGACAGCAGCCTGAGTCTGTCTGTGAGCAGGAAAGTTCGGTCATGCGCGGGGGTGAGGACGCGGAACATTGAGTGAGTGACCTCCCGTACAGTTATTTTTTAACTTTTTAAGGTCATCTTGTTACTTTGGCGTCAGGGAAGAAACCACCTATTCAGGAAACTTCAAACAGTAGAAACAGTACTTTTCAGTGCAAATGGGCAATTGTTTCTTTGGCTTACTAGCTCTATGCTATGATGATGAGGCTTTAGAAGTCAAAAAGCAACTAAAGTGTGTTTCCCTGTTTAAAAAACACATAGTATAACCTTTTAAAAGTAAGATGTATATTGGGGTGCTTGGGTGGCTCAGTCATTAACCTCTGCCTTCAGTTCAGGTCATGATCCCAGGGTCCTGGGATCAAACCCCACATTAGGCTCCCTGCTCCACAGGAGGCCTGCTTCTCCCTCTCCCACTCCCCCTGCTTGTGTTCCCTCTCTCACTGTGTGTCTCTCTCTCTTTGTCAAATAAGTAAAATCTTTTAAATAAATAAATAACAATAAATTAAAAATAAAAATAAGATGTATAAAAAATGTTATCAGATAGAGGACAGTAAACTCAGATTTTTTAAATGAAGAATCTATTAGTATAATAGTGTGTATTAGTATATATAACTGTATATATATAGTTATATAGTAGTGTATATATATACATATATAGTATATATAACTATATACACCCAATAATTGTTCTGAAGAGAATAAAAAATACAGAAATAATCCGTAATAAAAGTGGGCACACAACTTGAACAGGTTCTGATAGAGGAGAAAGCCAAAGGGCCAGTAAATGTGAGAACATGCTCGGCTTCATTATTCATCAATAAAATGGAAATCAAAACCATTCTGATTCACCATGTTACACCTTCAGAATGAAAAAAATGGGGGGGAAAATGGGACTGTTGAGTTTGGTTGAAGCCGTAAGGCAGCTAATGAGGGTGTAAATGTTGTGCACACTCCCTTTAGAAACCCGTTTGGCATTCTCTAATGAAGGTGAAAATATAGGTCCCTATGTCAGTGCTCCACTCTGGTATGCACAGCGAGGCTTTTCGTGTGTTAGCACCGGGAAACATACATGAGAGTCTTCATAGAGGCATGCAAAATTGGGAGTGACCCAAATGTCCACCAGCAGTAAAATAGATAGATGAATAAACTTTGGTGTTTTAATAAAAAAAAAAAATCATAGTGAAAATGGTTTAAAAACTACTTTGGAACAATGTGATGAATCAGGAACATAGTGTTGGGAGAGGAAAGCAAATTGAAGAAGACCAGGTACTATGAAATTATAAAAATCTCATAAATATGCCTAATTAAGTTATTGGTTAGAGATACAAATTCCTAAGATAAAGCTATTTAAAAAAACAAAATACAAAGGCTTCTACTTCAGCCAAAATGGGAGTAAACAGAGATGGGAGTTACCCCCTCAATTGAAACAACCTAAAAACAACAAGATCAGTGAAACCACAGCTCTTAAGGTGTTGGGCGTCTTTCTCTCAGTGGATGTCAGTCAGTGAAGGAAATTAACCTCCGAGAGACCAGAAACAAAGGGTTGATCCCTACTACTGCTCTCAGCTTAAAGCCTGGAGATCACAGTGTGGGGAGAGGAAGACTGGGAGAGCCCAGTGGTCTCCCAGACTTGAGAACACATAGCCAGGAGACCAGAGACACCAGGGAGGCTAGGAGTCCCACAGAAGCATCCATCTGACAAAGAGAACTCTGGAGATCTGTAGGAAGACCCCTCGAGTATTAGCACTAGCAAGGAAACAGTCCAGTGCCAGGAAAGAGCCTCCTCTTTAGAAGGAGCAGCAGCTACAGTAGTCAGGATTTAAGATGGTCTTCATAATGGAATGAACGTTTGTGCCCCTCTCCCATTCATCTGTTGGAGCTCTAAACCCCAGTGTGAATGTATTGGTGACAAACCCTTGATAGAAGTAATTAAGGTTGGGGCGCCCGAGTGGCTCAGTGGGTTAAAGCCTCTGCCTTCAGCTCAGGTCATGATCTCGGGGTCCTGGGATCGAGCTCCGCATCGGGCTCTCTGCTCGGCGGGGAGCCTGCTTCCTCCTCTCTCTCTCTCTGCCTGCCTCTCTGCCTACTTGTGATCTCTCTCTGTCAGGTAAAAAAATAAAATCTTGAGAAAAAAAAAAAAGTACTTAAGGTTGAGTGAGATCACACGGCTAGGGCCTTGATTTGTTAGGGTTAATGTCTTCATAAGAAGGGAAGAGAGACCAGACCTCTCTTTCTTGGCACACAGAGCCTCCCAGATCCCTGCCCATGGTGTCCGTGCCCTACCTGCATAATCCCCAGGATTGTGAACGTGGCTTTTACTCCTATGATTATGTTACATTAAGCTTTTGCTTTTAAGTAATGGAAAGCCCTTTAAATATGGGTCCGGAGGTCAGAGACAGAAGTCAGATTCAGGAATGGGAAGGATTTGATGCATCATTGCTGCCTTGAAGGTGAAACGGCCACATGGCAGGGAATGCAGTTAGCAGTTAGAAGCCGAGAGTGGCAAAGAAACAGCCACCTTAGTCCCATAGCTACAAGGGGCTAAATTTTGACAACAGTAAGAATGAGCTTTGAGGTACATTTATTGCCTGAGCCTCCACACAAGAATTCAGACTAACACTTTATTTCAGCCTTGTGATACGCTGAGCAGAGAACTCTGTGCTCTAGGCTAGTACTTAGAGTGTCCAGCGCTCACACAAGGCTGGGAATGCTGTCTGCTCCCAGCAGCGAGAGCGGGAAACCTGTAGCTCGCAGGGTTATCAGAGAGCTAACTAGTGGGGGAAAGTGCCCTGAGCACTACTCTGGTCTGATCCGACAAAGGTGAAAGGCAAGGACCGGACGTGCTACTTTGAAGTAACTTAACCAAGGATACTTGAGCTCTAGAATCTTTTTTTCTTTCCTTTTTTTTTTTTTTTTTTTTTTTGTTTAATATTTATTTACTTTAGGGGTGCCTGGGTGGCTCAGTTGCTAAGCGTCTGCCTTCAGCTCAGGTCATGATCCCAGGGTCCTGGGATTGAGCCCTACATTGGGCTCTCTGCTCAGCAGGAAGCCTGCTTCTCCCTCTCCCTCTGCTGCTCCCCTGCTTGTGTTCTGTCTCTCTGTGAAGTAAATAAATAAAATCTTTTTAAAAAATAATTATTAGAGGAAGAGCAGGGAGAGAGAAACTCAGACTCCGTACTGAGCAGAGAGCCCAACATGGGACTCGATCTCACGACCCAGAGATCATGACCTGAGCCAAAACCAAGAGTCAGACGCTTAACCAACAGCCCCACCCAGGCTCCCTAAGCTCAAGAGATAGGGGCGCCTGGGTGGCTCAGTGGGTTGAGCCTCTGCCTTCGGCTTGGGTCATGGTCTCAGGGTCCTGGGATCGAGCCCCACGTCGGGCTCTCTGCTTGGTGGGGAGCCTGCTTCCCTTGCCCCCCTCTCAATGCCTGCTTGTGATCTCTCTCTCTCTGTCCAAAAAAAGAAATATATATATATATATCCAGCCCCAGGGCACCTGTGTGGCTCAGTCATTAAGTGTCTGCTCTTGGCTCAGGTCCTGATCTCAGGGTCCTGGGATAGAGCCCCATATTGGGCTCTCTGCTCAGCAGGGAGCCTGCTCCCTCTCCCTCTGCCACTCCTGCTTGTGCTCTCTCTTTCTCTTCTCTGCCAAATAAATAAAATCGTTTAAAAAATATATCCAGCATCAAACAAGGTAAAATTTGTAACATCTGATATCAAATAAAAAGTTACCAGACATCCAAAGAAGGAAGAAAACACAACCATGGGCTCCTGGGTGGTTCAGTGGGTTAAAGCCTCTGCCTTCGGCTCGGGTCATGGTCTCAGGGTCCTGGGATCGAGCCCCACGTTGGGCTCTCTGCTCAGCGGGGAGCCTGCTTCCTCCCCTCTCTCTCTGCCTGCCTCTGCCTACTTGTGATCTCTCTCTGTCAAATAAATAAAATCTAAAAAACACACACACACACACAACCATAATTAGAAGAAAAAAACAGTCCTATTAAACTGACCAAAAATGACATCAGTGATAGAAGACAAGGATATTAAAATAAGAATTTATTCCATGTGTTCAAGGTCTAGAGGGAATACTGAGCATATTAAGTAGGAGCATGGAAGATCTGTGAAAGACCCATTTCTGATTTCTAAAGATGAAAACAGTGTCTGAGATGAAGAGTTCAATGGGTAAAATCAGTGGCAGATTAGACATTGCATAATAAAAGATGAGTGAGGAACAGCTGGGTGGCTCAGTCTGTTGGCTGTGTTCAGGTCAGGTCAGGGTCCCAGAATCCTGGGATCGAGTCCCGCATCAGGCTCCCTGCTCACTGGGGAATCTGCTTCTCCCTCTCCCCTCCCCCTTTCCGTGCTCACTCACTCTCTCTCTGACAAATAAATAAAATCTTTAAAAAAAAAAAGATTAGTGAAAACAAAGTCATTTAGGAAGTCCTGAAACAGAAGAAAAAAAAAGACTACAGGGTATCAGTGAGCTGGGGGACAGTCTGAAATGGCCTAATGTATAGTTGAAGCCAGCAAAGCAGGGATAGGGGCTTAGAGAAAATATTCTAAGAAATGATTGTTGAAATTTTTCCAAATTTGATGAAAAGTATAAACTCACAGATCTAAGAGACTCTGCGCCTCTACACGATAAAATTACACTGAACTACATCATAATCAAAAGAAGTATTACAACTAAGAAGCCAAGAAAGATCAAATAGAATCATGAAAAGTAACAATTTTTTTTAAAGGAGAAGGAAGAGGTCATGAACCGCGATGTTTAGTGGCTGCTCTAGGGCTTACAGTACACGTCTCTAGCCACCCAGTACCTTCAGACGATGTTAACGCCATTTCACAGTAGCATAAGACTTAGAACCATGCACTGGATGGGTCTGCTCAGGCCGCCGTAACAAAAGGCCATTGACAGTGACTAAACATCAGAAATTTTATTCTCACAGCTCTGAGGGCTGGAAGTCTGAGACAAAACCGCAGTTGGGTTTGGCTGAGGGCTTTCTTCCTGACTGGCAGACAGCAGCTTTTTGGTGCTCACATGGCCCCTTTCTGGGCCTGTGCATGCCTGGGGCGGGGGAGGTGGGAAGTGAGTAAGCTCCCTGGTCTCTCTTTTTGGGCACTAACCCCATCATGGGGGTCCCATCCTTGTGACCTTGTATAGCCCTGATCACCTCCCCAAAGGCCCAACCAAATATCACATGGGGTCTTAGGGCTTCAACATGTAAATTGGGGGTGGGGGACACAACATTTAATCCATTAAAACAGCCCTCTGTTTCTTCCTGGATAATTTCTGTTGGCCCATTTTCAAGCTCACTGGGGTGGGTCCACTGATGAGCACAGTAGAGGCGTTCTTGTGTGGCTGTGTTTTTCTACATCGAGCATTTCCAGCTGGACTCTTACAGTGTCTGTCTGCTGAAACCCCCCATCTGATCATTCACATCGTTCCAACATACAGGTCATCTCTAATTCTAGTTCCGTTGATCACTTGGTCTCTGATTCTGTGTGTGTGTCTTCTTTCTCTTGGGTGTCTCCTAACTTTTTATCAAGTGTCAGCTATCAATTAGGACAGTAGAGATAGAGGTGAGTCGTCTGTCTGCAAACAGAACCTGACCTGCTGGGCTGATAGTGTGACAGCCTGAGTCTAGTCAGGGCTCGGGCTGGGCTCTGTTCTTCCCAGAGTGGCCTTCAGCACACCACTGAGATTCCTGGGAGACTCTCCGTCTCCCAGGTGTGCCCACGAGAGAGGGTTTTCTTCCGTGCTCTCGCCCCCACCCAAGCAGTAGTACGCAGTGGCTGGTTGCTCGCGGCTTGCCTTCGGGCCAGGGGCTGGGGCAAACGAGAGGGTGCGCCACTGTTGTGTCCCTGGGTCACAGCCCTTCCCTTAGTTGAAGCGGACTTCTCCCTGCTGGGCTCTTGATCATTTCCTGCCTCTCCCTCAGGAGTAGGAGTATTACCCTTACCAGCCATTGGAATTTTTATCTGTGCCCGAAAATGAGAAGCTTGTTTTCTGTCGCGCAGGGACATGGCAGTGTTTGCTTTGCGGAGGAGAAGGGTTCAGGTGGGTCCGCAGGAGGCATCCTCTGGACCTGCCCCCAGGGGAGAAGCCCATAGTCAGGAGCCCTGCATCTGCGGTTCTTTGGAAGTTCACTGTTTTAGCCCAGGGCTTCTTCCTTGCTTGGGTGGCGGCCTGTCTTCCATCTTGCTCTTACCTCCCATCCGGGCACCTCAGTGCAGGTGTCTTCCCGTGCAGGCACCTGTCTCTCCTTAGGTTCAGGTCACTTGGTTGCCATCATGACCTCAGCTCTGTGATAGATTCGAGAAAGTTACGATTTTATAGATTACCTTACTTTTTCTTGCTGTTAGGGAGGTAGTGATACTCTTTCCGGTTTTCTTCCTCCTGGGGCATTCCAGTTAATATGTAATTAATAATAAGTAGTATAGTAACATTGCTTTACATACTGTATAATAGTAGTGATATTAACAGTAAAAGGGACATGGGAAATGTAACTGGATTGGCCAGTGTATCCACTTGACTTTCTGTGTCAGACTGTGCGCTTCTGTTGGTCATGGTGAGGAGTCCTCCCCTGTCACTGATGAGCAGGCAGGGCTGGGCAAGATGGACATGGGACAGTAAGCTGTCCCAGGGCGCCTGGGGGCCGCAGTCAGTTAAGCATCTGACTCTTGGTTTCAGCTCAGGTCACAATCTCATGGGTCTTGGGATCGAGCCCTGCATCAGGCTCTGGGCTCAGCATGGAGTCTGCTTGTGACTCTCTCTCCCTCTCCCTTTGCTCCTTGTCCTCTCTCTCCCTCTCTCTCTCAAAAATTAAAAGATTTAAAAAAAAAAACCCAAAAACGGTAAGCTGTCACATGCTGGTCTGACGGTAGGAACTAGGGGTTTGAACACTGATGGGGAAAGAGAAAGATAAGGAATCAAAAAAGAGATGTGGATCCTGAAGCCCACCAGCCAGGAGAAGTTGGAGCTTATTCTGGGAGGAAGGAGCCAAGTTCTCTGTTGGACTCCTGACATGGATGTGAGGGCCGTCTAGATAGCAAGGTTAGCAGAGCCCCCACCTGAGCCTGGAGAGCACTGGGAGGTGGAGGGGTCGGTGTCCGTGTCTAGAGTGCAGCTGAATCTCGGGGTGGGTACGGAGAGCCCGTTCGTCAAGCCTGGAGTGGGACTCCAGCCTCTATAGGAGCCCCTCACTCAGGGGAGTCTCCCAACTTCCCACTCCTGCCTCTTCTCAGATGACCCTCTGCTGAGGGTCTGCTTCCATCTGGCTGCCACCAACTTCTGCAAGAAGCATTAGCATTTGGTAGGTCTTCCCCCCCGCCCCGCCCCCCACCCCCACCAAGGTAATCGAGCTGCCAAAAGGCAACACAGATCAAAACAAGCATATTTTGTTTATTGACCACCTTGGCCCAAATCTTTCTCTGAGCCCCAGCTAGAACTGCATTACGGCCCATTATGTAGCATTTGTCTTCCCGGACCAAGTCATGAACTAATTAGTGAAGCTTGTATCTCAGTATGCTGTTACCAGCAAGGTGTGGGGAACTTGACAGTATCCTAGTCTAGATAGGACACAGTTGGAAAACAACTGGGTGCTGTTCCGCTTTCTAATAAAGAACCACAGAACGAGACGTACTCGCCACCAGATGGAGGTGAAGGACCACCACGGGCCCCCATCCTGGGAACGGCCTCTGAGCATGAGGGAGCAGAGCACATATGGCTCTCTGAGCTGGGAACACCCAGGTCTTGCCCCGTGAACCAGGGAAGTAAGTTCTGGAGAGAAGGGGGGAGCGAAGAAGGGGGAGCTGGAGTCCCACACCTGTGCCCATTTGGGCACCGTCTTAGCTCGTGGTCTCGAGATGGCTGGGTCAGCGTCTACATTGCCCTCAGGGCTGCAGGCCCCTCGACACCTGGTGTAGACCCTGAGTGCGTCTGCGAGAATTCTCAGCCGTCCTCTGCCCAGAGGCTTCTCATTCCGGAATGACCCTCGAGTGCACCCGTTTTTAATGCTGTTCTGGTCAAGGTCTTTGGGAAGCTGGGGGTGGCGGCTGGGTGTTTGGAGGTGGCCTCCTAGGCTGCAGGGCGAAGATTGGTCACTGGAGGGCCCACAGGAGGCCTGGCCGCAGGCCTGCAGTCAGTCTCTTGCTTCTGGCCCTGACATGGTATCGGCGCCACCTGTTTGGGGTCCTTGGTAAGGACCACTCCATGAGCACAGTCTCGTCCTCCCACAACAGCCCTAAGGTCACTTGTGAAGACTTGGTCCTTCCCTGACTGGCATCTTGTCATCTCAATGGCTTGGTCTCCAAGATGTGAAACACTTGTTCTCAGGGGTGCCTGGCTGGCTCAGACGTTAGAGTACACAGGTTTTGATCTCAGGGTCATGAGTTCAAGATCCATACTGGGCGTAGACCTCCCCAAGGGGGGGAAAATTTTGGAAGCCACCCTGTCCTCCCCCACTCACACCGCAGAGAGTCCCCAACCTGGCACTAAAAACATCTACCGGAGCCTTCTCTGCAGTGCTCACTGCTGCTCTGCAGGCCACATTCCAGCCTGGATGTGGCAAGACTCCCATTGTGTCTCTCCTCGGGCTTTCCGGTGCATTCTCTGCAGAGAGGAGGTCACACTTCCCCACGCATGAGTCCTAGGGCCCTGTGTGTGTTGGACACGCACGTCTACCAGCTCTACCTGCCCTCGTGTCACTGTCTGCCCAACAAGAGCCTGCGGTCCCAGGTGGGGTTGCGGTTTGATGATGGCTTCTGGAAGCTCTGTACGTCAAGACTCCAGGGTGGGGCTCCTGAGTGGCTCGGTGGGTTAAGCATTTGCCTCCCGCGGAAGTCACGGGTTCCGCATCGGGCTCCCTGCTCAGCAGGGAGTCTGCCTCTGTCCCTCTCCCCGCTTGTTCTCTCTCAAATACAGAAAATCTTAGAAAACAGAGACCACAGGGAGAGTGGGACTCGGGCAGTAATGGCCTATCACCTGCCACTGTGTGCCTCGTCCTTTCACACCTATCTCCAACTGCCCTGTCGCCTGGGCGCGTTTTTAGTTACTGGACACAGTTGTGAGTTTTCTCCCCGACGGCAGCTCACGGGCCGTGTGCATTCAGGGACCACAGCCTGGGGGCCACCTCTAGGGACACGTGCTCTGCTGTTTTGAGTAGGTGGGCAGTTAACTTTTACTTTGGGTTTGTTGTTTCAGAGCATGAGAACAAGGGAGAGAACCCGAAGAGGGATTGGAGTCTGAAGCCGTTTCTTTCAGAGGAAGGATCCTCGGTTCTGGGGGGAGCACCCTCAGGCCAGCCTGATCACAGACCTTACAGAGCCGAGCAGAGCTGCCCTGTGAGCCCAAGCCCCGGCGGCCCGCCTGGAGCGCAGGTCCCCAAGCGGAGTGTGCCTGCCCCCCCGCAGCAGGGTGTCCCCGGCGGGGAGAGGCCCTACAAGTGCACCGAGTGCGGGAAATGCTTCGGCCGCAGCTCCCATCTGCTGCAGCACCAGCGAACCCACACCGGGGAGAAGCCCTACGTGTGCGGCGTGTGCGGCAAGGCCTTCAGCCAGAGCTCGGTCCTCAGCAAGCACCGGAGAATCCACACGGGCGAGAAGCCCTACGAGTGCAACGAGTGCGGGAAGGCCTTCCGCGTGAGCTCGGACCTGGCGCAACACCACAAGATCCACACGGGCGAGAAGCCGCACGAGTGTCTGGAGTGCAGGAAGGCGTTCACGCAGCTCTCGCACCTCATCCAGCACCAGCGCATCCACACGGGAGAGCGGCCGTACGTGTGCCCGCTGTGCGGCAAGGCCTTCAACCACAGCACGGTGCTGCGCAGCCACCAGCGCGTGCACACGGGCGAGAAGCCGCACGAGTGCGCGCAGTGCGGCCGCGCCTTCAGCGTCAAGCGCACGCTCCTGCAGCACCAGCGCGTGCACACGGGCGAGAAGCCCTACACGTGCAGCGAGTGCGGCCGCGCCTTCAGCGACCGCTCGGTGCTCATCCAGCACCACAACGTGCACACGGGCGAGAAGCCGTACGAGTGCGGCGAGTGCGGCAAGGCCTTCAGCCACCGCTCGACGCTCATGAACCACGAGCGCATCCACACGGAGGAGAAGCCGTACGGCTGCTACGCGTGCGGCAAGGCCTTCGTGCAGCACTCGCACCTGACGCAGCACCAGCGCGTGCACACGGGCGAGAAGCCGTACGTGTGCGGCGAGTGCGGGCACGCGTTCAGCGCGCGGCGCTCGCTGGTGCAGCACGAGCGCATCCACACGGGCGAGCGGCCGTTCCGCTGCGCGCAGTGCGGCAAGGCCTTCAGCCTCAAGGCCACGCTGATCGTGCACCTGCGGACGCACACGGGCGAGCGGCCCTACGAGTGCAGCCGCTGCGGCAAGGCCTTCAGCCAGTACTCGGTGCTCATCCAGCACCAGCGCATCCACACGGGCGAGCGGCCCTACGAGTGCGCCGAGTGCGGCCGCGCCTTCAACCAGCACGGCCACCTGATCCAGCACCAGAAGGTGCACGCGAAGCTCTGAGCCCCCGGGCCCCCGCGCGGGACGGGCTGCCGGCGGCTCCACCCCGGGGAGCCCCGAGGAGCGGCCCGGGGCGCGGCGGGCGGAGGGGCCGAAGGGAGCCTGTCGCGGCCCTCGTGGGTGCGGGCCGGGGCGACGTGGCCCGTGCACGCGCTGGCAGGCGAGCTTGAGGCTCGGGCCGCAGCAGCACGTTCCCGCCTCTGAGTAAAGTTCGCGCTTCCAGCAGGACATGCCTTTTCTAGAGACAACAGTTGCTCTAACTACTGCACGTAAGTTTGGGATATTTGCACTATTGTTGGGCCACTGCAGTGCTGCTGGGTGAAGAGATGGCTGTCAGGCATCACCGTGTAATGCGGCTGGAAACCCTACGTGTGTGCAGCCACTTGTTTTGTGTGAACAAAGGAAACAGCCTAAGGGTGAATTAGGGAGAAATGATGTGAACTCAGAAAACGCTTCAGCTGGCGTCAACTTTATTCCAGATCAGAAGGAATGTCCTAAGTGAAAATTCGACTCAGAAATGGATCTTTGCCTCAAAACCTAGCCTTATGACTTACAGACCTTATGCCCCGGAGATCTGGGATGTCTGGGGCCTCCAGACCCTGTGTGGGTTGGAGGGGAGCTCTGCTCTCAGAGCCCAGACCTCATAGCCACTGTGTTACTCAAAAGACAGTTCTTTGGTACATATTTTTAAAACCTAAAATTATCAAATTCAAATTGCTTTTTTATTATCTGAAATTTCCATTCCTATATTTGAGGGTTTTTTATTTTTTACTCCTGATTGCAAAAGTGTCTAGTATCCATTTTCATATACTGTAATGAATCTGTTTATTCATAATTTTTTAAGGATTTTATTTATTTATTTGACAGAGATCACGAGTAGGCAGAGAGGCAGGCAGAGAGAGAGAGGAGGAAGCAGGCTCCCCGCTGAGCAGAGAGCCCGATGCAGGGCTTGATCCCAGGACCCTGAGATCATGACCTGAGCCGAAAGCAGAAGCTTAACCCACTGAGCCACCCAGGCGCCCTTATTCATAATTTTTTTTCATAATTTTTTAAAAGATTTTATTTATCTGACAGAGATCACAAACAGGCAGAGAGGCAGGCAGAGAGAGGGGGAGAAGCAGGCTCCCCGCTGAGCAGAGAGCCTGATACGGGGCTCGATCCCAGGACCCTGGGATCATGACCTGAGCCGAAAGCAGAGGCTTTAACCCACTGAGCCACCCAGACACCCCTTCACAATTTTTAAAAAACATTTTATTTATCTGACAGAGGCAGCGAGAGAGGGAACACAAGCAAGGGGACAGGGAGAAACAGGCTCCCCGCTGAGCAGGGAGCCCGATTCGGGGCATGATCCTGGGACCCGGGGATCATGACCCGAGCCAAAGTCAGATGCCTAAGGACTGAGCCACCCAGACATCTCTAGTTTATTCATAATTTTTAAGTTTTTTCCTCTCTCTTGAAAACAGCTTCTCGGGAGAAATGAAGGACTGTGACCCTTAGGTCCGCAGAGGTACACTGACACACATAGACATTCGTTCTCCCAAATCTGTGAAGCAGGTGGGAGGAGCCATTGTCACAGGTGAAACTCTGGAAGCTGAGGCAGCAGGTGTACTGCAGAGAGGAGACGGGCTCCTCCTGAAAGGAGTCGACATCACCGATGTGTAGAGCAGAGCAGCTGGGACAACAGGCGCTAAAGCAACAAGCAGACAGGACTTGGGATCACTAAGGAGATGCTAGAGAGAAGATGAACTTGCTGAGACGCTCCTTCCGCGACGGCTGAACCTCCAAGGAGATGCTGTTCAGGCTGGTGCGAGGCAGAGGGGCTAAATCCCTCAGGTCCTCAGGTGTTAGGTGTAGATAGTAGCCGAAGTCACTGGCCCTCGGGCAAGCTGCCACCCCCGGCCGGCGGAGTCTGTAGCTGGCATCTGGCTCAGCGGCTGCCCCTCAGAGCCCACCACTGCTTGGGGCACAATTCTTAACCCTGCGGAGAGGTACAGTAAGTAGCCACGGTCTAGTCAAGACGAGAGTAAGAGTTCAGGTAAACACAATGTACAGAAATACTTGTTTGGAAAAATGCCGCATGTGCCGCAGGACAACGTACGTGATACGGTACAAGTCATTCTGGATTGCTAAATGCACCAAATACAGGGTTTCCAGGGAAATCTGCAAAATGCATAGTTCGCTTTTCAACCTTCTCAAAAGAAGTGTACCTACTACCACTCTGCCTTTTCTTCCTGCTGACCTGTCCCTGACCCATTCGTTGGTGAGTGCACGGGCTCAGGTGTCTGTGGAGCTGGGAGGTGAGCCTCAGTGCCCTTCTCCCTGGGGAGGATCCCTGGGCCATGCATTTTTGTCACTCGCCCCTCCAAGGATCAGGACGTAGCACAGAAACTGCTGGAACATATGGGCAGTCTGCGTTTTTGGATGTGGCATCAGGCACTAAAATGACCTTTGGGATCGCTTCACCCTGGTTTTTTGGTTGTTGTTTGTTTGTTTTAAAGATTTTATTTATTTATTTGACAGAAATCACAAGCAGGCAGAGGCAGGCAGAGGCCGGGTGGGGGGGAAGCAGGCTCCCCGCCGAGCAGAGAGCCCGATGCGGGACTCGATCCCAGGACCCGGGGATCATGACCCGAGCCGAAGGCAGAGGCTTTAACCCACTGAGCCACTAGGCGCCCCTCCCTTCACCCTGTTAACAGCCTTCTCAGCCGTTACTGCCCACCTCTGACTGGTCAGCAACATTCCATGCTTATTTTGGACCTTTTCATTTTTATTTAGAAGTCTACATCTTATGCATTTTCATCCTTCTCTTATTTTTCCTTACTGCTACCAAGAATTTGACACTTAGTTCTCAAATTTTCTGTAAGTTAGAAAGTACCCAGAGTTTTATTTCCGTGTACTATGTATGATCTGACATTGTCCAATAAAAAAGGAATGACTAGAACACCTATTCGTGGGTGAAGGGAGATCAATAACTGCCGTAAGGATCTACGACAAAGCAGTGGCCAGAGGACATGCGCTGGCAGTTCCCAGTAAAGGGAAGTCCAATGAGGAGAGCCTGGAAAAGGCTGAAGTGTGCCCCTTTCAGACAAGAACATTCCACCTCCTGATCTATTAGTAAAGGTTACCCAGCAACACACAGAGCTACGAAGGTGCTTTCGGGTGTCGCTGGTAGTACAGTCCAGCCCAGCTGCGTCAAGTACGGGACATGTGAGGAGCCATCGCTTCTCTGGAGAAAGACACCTGTGCAGCAAGACCCAGACCGAGGTGCCAGGCAGACCAGAGATGGCCCTGAGGGAGGCATGAGCACTCCCAGAGGACAGGCCCACGAGGGTCCTTTGCAGGAGACGGGCTTACTCTAGGGCCGAAGAAGATTGTGGGATGGGGGTGGGAGTAGTGCTGCCCCGCCTGGGTGAGTTTGGGGAACACATGGTTTCATGCATCAAAGTCCCTGAGCTGAGAAAGCAGGTGAGGCATAGGGGCCCCAAGACTGTCCTCCCCTCTGACACCAGTCACAAATTTGGGGATCCCAAGTTCAGTAATCTGCTGCTAGGACTCCTCGAACTTGCTTGAAACCTGATAGACACCTGGTTACAGTGTATTACAGGGATACCACAGATGAAATCAGACAAGGGATTGCATGGGGGCAGAATCCAGGAAAAGTAAAAAACGGGGGCCTTCTGTAGAGTCAAGGACGGCATTACTGCCCTGCCTCTGACATGTGACATGTGCACAGAGTACTGCCAACAAGGGAAGCCTCAGAGTTCTTGGGGTTTGGTGACACGGACACAGATGGCCACCCTCATAACTGACCCAGTCTCCAGCCTCTCCACAGGCTCAGTAGATCCCACACGGCCAAAAGCCCCTGCCCTGCTGTTCCCGCAGAGCTCCCGGCTCCAGCTGAGTAAACAAAGACTGTCAGCAGGACATTCCGGCTGCCCAGAACCTGGGACAAAGGCCATCCCTCCCCTGGAGTCAGGATAATCCTTTTCGCACAAGTGGAGAAGAGTGTGTCTCTTCTCTTGGCCCACCTCCAACTGCTCCATGAGCTTGGTGCAATCACCTTCCTCAGCCTCAGCTTCCGATCTACAGATGAGAATATCACCATTGACATCCCAGAGCTGCTGGGAAAATGAAGTGAAACGTACAGGAAGACCAGCCCAGCATTCACCGTGTGGTCTGTGTGCTGGAAGTTAGTACAACTCTGAACAGGTGCAGCTGTCATGGGAGGCAGGAGCCATACAGAGAACAACAGGCCAGGGCAGCTGCTCACTCACCACAAGGAGATAGAAATGTTCCCCAGCCCCAAGGGATCTTGAAGAAGCTCAGCCCATGGTCACACAACCCATGCAGGCAACAGGCTAGGCAGGGCAGAGTTGGCCCTGAGCAAGGACCCACTCCCTCCTCATCGTGAAAGCCCACACAGCTCCTCCAGCAGGGACTCTAGGACAGCCTAGAGGACACCAACCCCAGGGGGCATGTGAAGACTGGCCCAGCCCCTAAGGACAGGAGTGGGACAGCCCTTATGGAGAGATCCAGCTCTGGGACGCTCTGGCTCGGATTGGATGCTCTGCCTGGGTCCCTCTGCTTCAGGGGTGTGTACTGTGCAGCCACAAAGATGTGGGCATGGGTACCACACACTGAGCACGACCTTACCTGGCCTTACCATGAGGTTTGGGGTAAGCTGTGTCATATTTTACCCAGAGGTGCTGACTCAAGGTGCTGACTCAAGGCTGCCCTAACAGGCCTCAGCTGTCTGATCCTCTGACACCAGTAGTTCATCTCCTGACTGGTTACTGCCCACAACTATTAACAATTCCTAACAGTCTCCTGTGGGCTGAGATGACATGGCTCCCAAAGGCCCTCTGTCACCACAGGCTGACAGCTCAGCTGAGGCGGCAAGAGGACAGCAGCAAGGAGTTAACCCACCAGACACCCGGACTGTCCAGTTGAGAACCCCAATCCTTAGATGGGCTTGACACTTGTCCCCTGGTAAAATGTGTCACCAATGGATGGTGCCAGCCCTCTTTAGCCGAAACCAAACAGCCAAGAAAACTTGTAAAACCATGTTCTCTAGTTTTGCACCATGAAAACCACCAGCGTATTTTTTCC